GCGGTAACAGTCTGCCATGTTTCACTATGTCGTCGCTGTTGGACATGTGAAGGTTAGGTTAGAGGTAGAGGTAGAGATGAGGTAGTGGTAGGGGTTAGAGGTGAGTGGTGGGTGTGTGTGGGTGTGTTGGCAATACTCTACGGTAACAGTCTGCATGTTTCACTATGTCGTCGCTGTTGGACATGTGAAGGTTAGGTTAGAGGTAGGGGTAGAGGTAGAGGTAGAGGTAGAGTGAGTGTGGTAGAGGTGGGTGTGAGTGTGTGTGTGTGTGTGTCTCTGCGGTAACAGTCTGCCATGTTTCACTATGTCGTCGCTGTTGGACATGTTAAGGTTAGGTTAGAGAGGTAGAGGTAGAGGTAGAGGTGGGGTAGTGGTAGAGTGGGTAGTGGTAGTGGTAGGTGTGTGTGTGTGTATACTCTGCAGTAACAGTCTGCCATGTTTCACTATGTCGTCGCTGTTGGACATGTGAAGGTTAGGTTAGAGAGGTAGGGAGTGGGGTGGGAGTGAGGTGGTGGTGGTGGTGGGGTGGGTGGTGGGGTGGGGGTGGGGTGGGGGTGAGATGGGGGTGGGGTGGGGTGGGGTGGGGGTGGGGGTGGGTGGTGGGGTGGGGTGGGGGTGGGGTGGGGTGGGGTGGTGGTGGGGTGGGGTGGTGGTGGGTGTGTGTGTGTGTGTGTGCTCTGCAGTGACAGTCTGCCATGTTTCACTATGTCGTCGCTGTTGGACATGTGAAGGTTAGGTTAGAGAGTGGGTGGGTGGGGAGGTGGGGTGGGGGTGGGGGTGGGTGGGGTGGGGTGGGGTGGGGGTGTGGTAGGTGTGTGTGTGTGTGTACTCTGCAGTAAGTCTGCCATGTTTCACTATGTCGTCTGTTGGACATGTGAAGGTTAGGTTAGAGGTGAGGTGGGGGTAGGGGTAGAGTGGGGTGGTGGTAGGGGTGGGGTAGTGGTAGGTGTGTGTGTGTGTGTGTGTGTGCTCTGCGGTAACAGTCTGCCATGTTTCACTATGTCGTCGCTGTTGGACATGTGAAGGTTAGGTTAGAGAGAGGTAGAGGTAGAGGTAGTGGTAGAGGTAGTGGTAGGTGTGTGTGTGTGTGTGCTCTACAGTAACAGTCTGCCTGTTCCTTCGTCGCTGTTGGACATGTGAGAGGTTGGGTTGGAGGTGGGGAGTGGGGAGTGGTGGAGGGTGGGTGGTGGGGGTGGGGGTGGGGGTAGAGTGGTGGTGGGGGTGGGGGTGGGGGTAGGGTGGGGGAGGTGGGGGTGGGGTGGGGTGGGGTGGTGGTGGGGTGGGGTGGGGGTGGGGTGGGGGTGGGGTGGGGGTGGTGGTGGGGGTGGGGGGGTGGTGGTGTGTGTGTGTGTGTGCTCTGCAGTAACAGTCTGCCATGTTTCACTATGTCGTCGCTGTTGGACATGTGGGTTAGGTTAGAGGTGGGAGTGGGGGTAGGGGTAGAGGTGGGTAGAGGTGGGTGTGTGTGTGTGTGTGTCTTCGGTAACAGTCTGCCATGTTTTATCGTCGCTGTTGATGTGAGGTTAGGTTGAGGTAGAGGTAGAGGTAGTGGTAGAGGTGAGTGGTAGGTGTGTGTGTGTGTGGTAATACTCTGCGGTAACAGTCTGCCATGTTTCACTATGTCTCGCTGTTGGACATGTGAAGGTTAGGTTAGAGGTTGGGAGTGGGAGTGGTGGTGGAGGTGGTGGTGGGGTGGGGGTAGGGTGGGGTGGGGTGGGGAGTGGGGGTGGAATTGGGGGTGGGGGGTGGGGGTGGGGGTGGGGGGTGGGGTGGGGTGGGGGTGGGGTGGGGGTGGGGTGGTGGTGGTGGTGGGGTGGGGGTGGGGGTGAGTGTGGTGGGTGTGTGTGTGTGTGGTGTGCTCTGCAGTGACAGTCTGCCATGTTTCACTATGTCGTCGCTGTTGGACATGTGAAGGTTAGGTTAGAGGTAGAGGGTGGTGGTGGGGTAGTGGTGGGGTGGGGTAGTGGTAGGTGTGTGTGTGTGTGGTAATACTCTGCAGTAACAGTCTGCCATGTTTCACTATGTCGTTGCTGTTGGACATGAAGGTTAGGTTAGAGGTAGAGTGAGGTGGTGGTAGGGTGGTGGTGGTGGGTGGGGGTGGGGGTGGTGGTGGGGGTGGGGGTGGGTGGGGTGGGGGTGGGGAGTGGGGAGTGGGGGTGGTGGTGGGGGTGGGGGTGGGGTGGGGTGGGGAGGTGGGGTGGTGGTGGTGGTGGGGGTGGGGGTGGTGGGTGGGTGTGTGTGTGTGTGTGTACTCTACGGTAACAGTCTGCCATGTTTCACTATAATCGTAGCTGTTGGACATGTGAAGGTTAGGTTAGAGGTAGAGTGGGAGTGGGGGTGGGTAGTGAGTAGTGGTGGGGTGAGGGTAGTGGTAGGTGTGTGTGTGTGTGTGGTACTCTGCAGTAACAGTCTGCCATGTTTCACTATGTCGTCGCTGTTGGACATGTGAAGGTTAGGTTAGAGGTAGAGGTGGGAGTTAGTGGTAGAATTGGGGTAGAGGTGGAGGGTGGGGGAGTGGGGGTAGTGGTGGAGAGGGGGTGGGGTAGGGGTGGGGGTGGGTGTGTGGTGTGTGGAGGTGGGGGTGGGTAGGGGTGGGGTGGGGGTGGGGTGGGGAGTGAGTGGTGGGGGTAGTGGTAGGGGTAGTGGTGGTGAGTGTGTGTGTGTGTGTGTGTCTCTGCAGTAACAGTCTGCCATGTTTCACTATGTCGTTTGTTGGACATGTGGGTTAGGTTAGAGGTGAGGTGGGGGTAGTGAGGTGGGGTAGTGGTAGGGGTAGTGGTGGTGGTAGTGGTGGTGGTAGGGGTAGGGTAGTGGGTGTGTGTGTGTGTGGAATACTCTGCAGTAACAGTCTGCCATGTTTCACTATGTCGCTGTTGGACATGTGAAGGTTAGGTTAGAGGTGGGGGTGGGGTGGTGGTAGGTGGGGTGAGTGGTGGGGTGGGGGGGTGGGGTGGTGGTGGTGAGGTAGTGGTGGGGAGTGGTGGTAAGGTGTGTGTGTGTGTGGTGTGCTCTACGGTAACAGTCTGCCATGTTTCACTATGTCGTCGCTGTTGGACATGTGAAGGTTGGGTTAGAGGTGGAGTGGGAGGTAGTGTAGGTAGAGGTGGGGTAGAGTGGGAGTGGGAGTAGTGGTAGAGGTAGTGGTGGGAGTGAGTGGTAGGGGTAGAGGTGGGGGAGAGGTGGGTGTGTGTGTGTGTGTGTGTAATCTCTGCGGTAACAGTCTGCCATGTTTCACTATGTCGTCTGTTGGACATGTGAGGTTGGGTTTAGAGGTGGGGTGAGTGGTGGTGGTGGTGGTAGAGGTAGAGGTGAGTGGTAGGTGTGTGTGTGTGGTGTACTCTGCGTAACAGTCTGCATGTTTCATATGTCGCTGTTGGACATGTGAAGGTTAGGTTAGAGGTAGAGGTAGGGTGGTAGTGGTGGGAGTGGTGAGGTGGTGGAGGTGGGGTGGGGTGGGGAGTGGTGAGGTGGGGTAGAGGTAGGTGTGTGTGTGTGTGGTATCTCTGCAGTGACAGTCTGCCATGTTTCACTATGTCGTCGCTGTTGGACATGTGAAGGTTAGGTTAGAGGTGGGGTAGTGGTGGTGGTGGTGGTAAGGTAGAGGTAGGTGTGTGTGTGTGTGTATATATACACATCTTTCATTTGTTAGTAACAGCAGCCAAGACAAACAGAAATTAATTAAAGAAGACACACACACACACACACACACACACACACACACACACACACACACACACACACACACACACACACACACACACACACACACACACACACACACCACACACACACACACACACACACACACACACACACACACACACACACACACACACACACACACACACACACACACACACACACACACACACACACACACACACACACACACACACACACACACACACACACACACACACACACACACACACACACACACACACACACACACACACACACACACACACACACACTTTACTAAATGTGTGTTACCATTCTGTCTTGTTCGCTGAGAAGAGGAGGGAGGAGGGGCAGGAGGGGCAGGGCGGGAGGAGAGGCAGGGTGGGGCAGGGGCGGGAGGAGGGAGGGCAGGGAGGAGGGAGGGGGCAGGGAGGAGGAGGAGAGGGAGCAGGGGGCAGGGAGGAGGGAGGGCAGGGGCGGAGGAGGGAGGGCAGGGGGCGGGAGGAGGAGGAGGCAGGGAGCGGAGGAGAGAATGCAAACACTAGTCAGCTCCTTCCTTAAATCCGTATAAGGACTCATACATCTTGCTGTGTGTGTGTGTGTGGGGGGTATATCTCTCTCTCTCTCTCTCTCTCTCTCTCTCTCTCTCTTCCAGGACAGACCATGGGAGGCGCCTCAGCTGGCAGAAGGACTTGATCTCCTCAATATTCATCTGTTGTCAATAATAAGAACTCACCACCAAGACAAAGGGGAAATGAGACCTCACACTTGTAGTGAGGGAGGATGACTAGTTAATGTACTCAGGGCTAGACGGACTAGTTAATGTACTCAGGGCTAGAACCGGACTAGTTAATGTACTCAGGGCTAGACGGACTAGTTAATGTACTCAGGGCTAGAGGGACTAGTTCATGTACTCAGGGCTAGACGGACTAGTTAATGTACTCAGGGCTAGAGGGACTAGTTCATGTACTCAGGGCTAGAGGGACTAGTTCATGTACTCAGGGCTAGTAATTATGTACAACAGAGGAACGATTGGACTTACCTGTAATGGAAGCTTAATTAAAATGGTTCTTACCTGAGAGACTTGATGACTTGGAAGAAATTATCCCCTCTCTCTCTCTCTCTCAAGATACAACACCACACACACACACACACACACACACACACACACCACACACACACACACACACACACACACTCACACACACACACACACACACACACACACACTCACACACCACAAACCACACCACACACCACACACACACACACTGTACTCACCTACTACAGATAGATGATAAAACTTCCTCAGGTTAGTATTAGTATTAAGGGAGCACATATAGTCGCCTGTATCGTCCATGTTGACATTCTTGATGGTGAGGACCCACCTCCTCCGTCCAGGGGTGAGGAGTGGTGGACGGTGATGCGGGGATTCTCTGTAAACACGTCGTCCCCCATAGCGATCACGATACCTTTCTTCATCTTAAGCCAAGCTGTCTGGAAGGAGTGAGAATTACGGTAACTAGGGTGTGTTGGTGGATGGGTGTGTGTGTGTGTGTGGGGGGTGTGTTGGTGGATGGGTGTGTTGTGTGTGTGTTGTAGTGTTGTGTGTGTAATAAAAGATAAAGATATGTACACATCAACACGTATTAATTAACCTGTTTTGATGAGGAGTGGAGGGGGTGATAAAAGACGAAGATAAAGGAAAGTTAAAAAGTTTAATTTCATTCGTTTAACTCAGATTTGATAAATAAATTAAGGATCAGAAGTGAAGACGGCTTATTTTACCTAATGATGAAACACCTTAACGCTACCTGGGGGGGAGGTTAGGTTGGGTTAGGTTAGCATTGGGTTAAGTTGGAATGAGTTAGCATCAGGATAAATTAGGTTCGGTCAGCTTAGGACAGCATTAGGTTAGGTTAGGTTAAGTTAGGTTAAGTTTATTAAGGTTAGGTTAGACCAGCTGTAGGTTAGGTTAAGTTAGGTTAGGTTTATTAAGGTTAGGTTAGACCAGCTGTAGGTTAGGTTAAGTTAATCTTTAAAGGGTCCATATCTTTAACCCTTGTAATCAATCAATCATTCCTGGTGTAGAGGAGCACGTGAATAATACTTGAGTTTGCCCTCACGGTCCACAAACTCTTGCCCTCAGGTCCACATCTTGCCCTCACGGTCCACACACAACTCTGCCCCTCACGGTCCACAACTCTTGCCTCACGGTCCACACATCTTGCCTCTCACGGTCCACATCTCTTGCCCCTCACGGTCCCACACATCTGCCCTCGGTCCCATCTCTTCCCCTCGGTCCACACATCTCTTGCCCTCGGTCCACACATCTCTTGCCCTCGGTCACACATCTCTTGCCCTCGGTCCACATCTCTCTTGCCTCAGTCACACATCTCTTGCCCTCGGTCCACACATCTCTTGTTTTCTTCTGAGGGGGAAACTTTAGTCAACTTGCTGGAGAGTTTCTGTGTCTTGGAATGATAGTTCAAGATGTTCTCGGGTTCCAAAATCAAATTTATTCTTTGTCTATTTCAGGAAAGTGAGTTTTAATGTCATTTGTTGAAAGGTTCTCTGTTTTATTTGGATTAGGTGAAGATTAGGCACCCTAGATTAGTTTACCTGATGATTAGAGACTCTAGTTTTAATCTTTTTTAACCTAACCTAATGACCGACCCGACCCGACCCGACCCGACCCATTGACCCGACTCACTGTCACTCAACATCACAAAAATCTCAGTAAGACTTTTTATAAACATCAACATCGTCCATTATAAACATTTGGTGTGTGTGTGTGTGTGTGTGTGTGTGTGGTGTGTGTGTGTGTGTGTGTGTGTGTGTGTGTGTGGTGTGTGTGTGTGTGTGTGTGGTGTGTGTGTGTGTGTGTGTGGTGTGTGTGTGTGTGTGTGTGTGTGTGTGTGTGTGTGTGTGTGTGTGTGTGTGTGTGTGTGTGTGTGTGTGTGTGTGTGTGTGTGTGTGTTTTGTGTGTGGTGTGGTGTGTGTGTGTGTTGTGTGTGTGTGTGTGTGGTGTGTGTGTGGGGTGTGTGGTGTGGTGTGTGTGGTGTGTGTGGTGTGTGTGTGTGTGTGTGTGGCCTCTTGTTCTTGCCAGCAACTGATGTTGGGTCTTGGTTCAACTTTAGCCAACCTTTTACTTTTCCTCTGTTGTTATTTTCTAAAGCCTCTGGATCAGTACCGTGTCAGTACCTGAGTGATCAGTACCTGAGTGATCAGTACCTGAGTGATCAGTACCTGGTGATCAGTACCTCCTCCCCCTCCTCTTCCCCTCCTCTTCCCCTCCTCTTCCCCTCCTCCTCCCCCCCCTCTTCCCCCTCCTCTTCCCCCTCCTCTTCCCCCCTCCTCTTCCCCTCCTCCTCTTCCCCTCCCTCCTCTTCCCCTCCTCCTCTTCCCCTCCTCTTCCCCCTCCTCTTCCTCCTCCTCCCCCTCTTCCCCTCTCTTCCCCTCCTCTTCCCCCCTCCTCTTCCCCTCCTCTTCCCCTCCTCTTCCCCTCCCTCTTCCCCCTCTTCTTCCCCCTCCTCCTCTTCCCCTCCTCTTCCCCTCCTCCTCTTCCCCCTTCCCCTCCTCCTCTTCCCCCTCCTCCTCTTCCCCCCTCCCTCCTCTTCCCCCCTTCCCCTCCTCCTCTTCCCCTCCTCCCTCTTCCCCCCTCCCCTCCTCTTCCCCTCCTCTTCCCCCTCCTCCTCTTCCCCTCCCCTCCCCCTCTCTTCCCCTCCTCCCTCTTCCCCCTCCCCCTCCTCCCTCCCCCCTCCCTCTTCCCCTCCTCCTCTTCCCCCTCCCCCCCTCCTCCCCTCTTCCCCCTCCTCTTCCCCCTCTCTTCCCCCTCCTCTTCCCCTCCTCCTCTTCCCCCTCCTCCCCCTCTTCCCTCTCTTCCCTCCCCTCCCCTCCCCCCTCCCCTCCTCCTCCCCTCCTTCCTCCTCTTCCCCTCCTCCCCTCCTCTTCCTCCTCTTCCCCCTCCTCCCCCCCTCCCCTCCTCCTCCCCTCTTCCCCCTCCTCTTCCCCCCTCCTCTTCCCCCTCTCTTCCCCTCTTCCCCCCTCCTCCTCCCTCCTCTTCCCCCTCCCCTCCTCTTCCCTCTCTTCCCCCCCTCTCTATACGTCTCATCTATCTTTCTTCACTTGGTTTATTTATTTTTTTCTTTTCCTTCAACCAATTTTCCTCCAGATCTTCCTCGCTTTTCCTTGTCTCTTTTCATCACATTTTCCTCAGTTGTGTCGTTTCTCTGGGCTTTTTCCTTCTATTTTCTTCTCTTTCTTCGTGTTATCGGTTTTGTTATTCCTCTCCTTTATTGCATTTTCTTATACACGCTATACAATCCCTTATCTTCTCACTGCTTCCATCAACCTGCATGACAAGATCTAATGTTATTGTAGGGTTGTGTTGTGGCTTCCTATGGTGAGGTATTGACACACACACACACACACCACACACACACACACACACACACACACACACATGGAGTCTCTCAGATTAAGTTATGTCTATCTTATCTATTGTTCCGGGTTGTGACAAGAGGAGATGGTGGTTGCAGACTAGAAGTAGTGTGTGTGTGTTGTGTTATCAGTTCTCTTGTACACAACCCGTTTTTAAGTTACTCTTATCACTTTTCGTCATCACTTGTGTTTGTGAATGGCGGCCGTCTAGTGAATACGTATGGTGTGTGTGTGTGTGTGTGTGTGTGTGTGTGTGTGTGTGTGTGTGTGTGTGGTGTGTGTGTGTGTGTGTGTGTGTGTGTGTGTGTGTGTGTGTGTGTGTGTGGTGTGTGTGTGTGTGTGTGTGTGTGTGTGTGTCCCTCCGCCCCTCGACGACTGCCTCCACATCCTCCTCCGCCCGCCAGCGACTGCCTCACGTCCTCCTCCGCCCCTCGACGACTGCCTCACGTCCCCTCCCGCCCCTCGACGACTGCCTCGTCCTCCTCCGCCCCTCGACGACTGCCTCACGTCCTCCTCCCGCCTCGACGACTGCCTCACATCCCTCCTCCCGCCCCTTGACAACTGCCTCACGTCCTCCTCCCGCCCCTCGGTCGCTCCCAATGTTTTCAATCAGACAGAAAGCTCTCCACACGTAAATAGCTTCCATCAGTCTATTCCTTTAAGAGCTGGTCCTCCAACACCACTACTGACGACCACTTGAAGATAAGTAGAGAAGGTCGGTCCTACGTCACCAGGACCTCCTCAAGGATACCGAGACGTCATGGTTGGTGTCCTACAGGTGGAAGGTCGTCCGGGGTGGCCGTCTGGACGTACTGACAGCACTACACCTCTGCTAAGCGTCTTTATGGGGTGTTTCTTCCCGGCGGTGCAGCTAGAGGTAAAGCTCTTGAACAACATGACGGTCAAATGGGACAGTTAGTGGAAGACCTTCACAACTCCTCTTAGGTTATTATTACTGAATTATTTTTGGATTATTACTGAATTTCAACGACTAAGGTTATATCGCCTCCGTGTCTCTCGTAGCCCTGTGCGTCCAACAACCAGACTCACAACTAAGCACAACTCTGTCAGTGATCACGCTGACTGAACCATCCCCCTGGAACACGACACAGATACTACAGCCATCACGGGACATAACTTACGACGACTGGGACACAGCGATCATCTGAAAGCGGTGCCTCAAGAACGAACTTTTTCTCTCTCTCAAAAGAAGCCGCAGGAGGGGGGTGATAAAATAACTGTATCCAGGGTGAAGAGACGACCACCTCCACCCACACACACTCCCGACCACCTCACCCCACTCCCGACCACCCCACCCCCACTCACTCCACGACCACCTCACCCTCCACACACTCCCGACCACCTCACCCCCACACACTCCCACTAACCACCTCCCCCCACACACCCCCACGACCACCTCCCCCCCTCCCGACCACCTCCCCCACACACTCCCGACCACCTCACCCCACACACTCCCACGACCCTCACCCCCACACACTCCCGACCACCTCACCCCAACACACTCCCCACTAACCACCTCACCCCCACACACCCCCACGACCACCTCACCCCCACACACTCCCCGACCACCTCACCCCCACACACTCCCACGACCACCTCACCCCACACCTCCCGACCACCTCACCCCCACACACTCCCGACCACCTCACCCCCACACACCCCGACCACCTCACCCCACACACCCACCTCACCCCCACACACCCCGACCACCTCACCTCACCCCGACCAACTCACGATTTAATGTCTTGAGTACATTGAGTCTACGTCTGGAGTACGAGAGCTTGAGAGCTTAGATTATCATATACAAAGACTAAAGCAATCGTACTCAAGGATTTAAACTAACATAAATAAGGACTCAAGCTACTGTACGTACTCAAAATTTCAGACAATTGTACTCAAGGTTTTACACTAACATACTCAAGGTTTTACACTAACATACTCAAGCGATTAATTGCAACTCATCGACACAAACAAAGGTAATATTCAGTGGTAAAAGTGACCCTCTCCTCCTTTACGAACCTTCACATGGATCCAGACCCAAACAAAGGTAATATTCAGTGGTAAAAGTGACCCTCTCCTCCTTTACGAACCTTCACATGGATCCAGACCCAAACAAAGAGAATATTCAGCGGTAAAAATGATCCCTTTCCTCCTTTACGAACCTTCACATGGATTCAGACCCAAACAAAGGTATTATTCAGTGGTAAAAATGGATCCCTTTCCTCCTTGGCGAACCTCTTCACATGATTCAGACCCAAATTGAATTCGACTAGTTAAAAAGGAGGTGAGAAGTGAGGGAGAGAGTAGGAGAATGAGAAGATTACTACAGAGACAGGTTGACAAATGATGCTGTTGTTCTGAAGTGAGAGAGAGAGTAGAGAATGAGGAAGATTACTTACAGAGACAGGTTGACAAATGATGCTGTTCTGAAGAGAGAGAGAGACAGACAAAGAGACAGACAGACTGATAGACAGAGAGACAGAAAGAGAGGGAGGCAGAGACAAAGAAACAGTGAGAGGAGATAGAGACAGAAACAGAAAGAGGGAGAGACAGACAGAAGGACAAAGAGACAGAGAGAAGGAAAAAAGAGAGAGAGGGAGATAGAGAGAAAGACAGGGAAGAAGAGAAGGAGAGAGAGAGATAGAGAGACAGACAGACGGACAAAGAGACAGAGACAGAAGGAAAAAAGAGAGAGAGGGAGATAGAGAGAAAGGCAGGGAAGAAGAGGAGATGATAGAGAGATAGAGAGACAGAAAGAGAGAGAGACAAAGAGAGAGACCGCCAGCTGGCCCAACATCTTGACTACATTATCTCGCTCCAACAGAAGACAATACGGCGTCAAACACAAGAGCAGGAGTTAGTTAAGTCACCCCAATGGTCTTGTGGGTTGTGTGGGATCTCGGGGCGTGATGTAGGCGTGATTGAAGCAGTGAAGCAGGATATAAGTTACGTATTTGCGTGATATAACCAGAGAGAGACAGACAGACAGAGAAGAGTGAGACAGACAGACAGAGACGGACAGAAACTCACCTGGTAATGCATAATGTTGTGTACAGTGCAGGTCAACACAGCGTCACGCCCCATGGCCGCCTGCACCTCCAGGTGATCGTGTCTACCGAACCTTGGCATGGTCTCTGTAACACCAGGAGATAAGGGTTATTATACTGTACTAACCTAACATAACCTAACCTAACCTAACCTAACATAACATAACATAACCTAACCTGACCTGACCTGACCTGACCTGACCCCTTTAAGTAAATAAGATCGATACATAACTCAAGGTATAAGTCAGTTATTATGGTTCAGTTTGTGTCGTGGCACTATAAGAGTCTTCCTCAAGTGGCACTATAAGAGTCTTCCTCAAGTGGCACTATAAGAGTCTTCCCCAAGTGGCACTATAAGAGTCTTCCTCAAGTGGCACTATAAGAGTCTTCCTCAAGTGGCACTATAAGAGTCTTCCTCAAGTGGCACTATAAGAGTCTTCCTCAAGTGGCACTATAAGAGTCTTCCTCAAGTGGCACTATAAGATTCTTCCTCAAGTGGCACTATAAGAGTCTTCCTTAAGTGGCACTATAAGAGTCTTCCGCAAGTGACACTATAAGTCTTCCTCAAGTGGCACTATAAGTCTTCCTCAAGTGGCACTATAAGTCTTCCTCAAGTGGCACTATAAGAGTCTTCCCCAAGTGGCACTATAAGGTCTTCCTCAGTGACACTATAAGTCTTCCTCAAGTGGCAGTTCCTGCACTATAGTCTTCCTCAGTGGCACTATAAGAGCCTTCCCAAGACACTATAAGAGTCTTCCCAAGTGGCACTATAAGAGTCTTCCGCAAGGACATGAAAGTTCGCAGACATTAGTCTTCAGTGGCACTATAAGTCTTCTCGTGGCACTATAAGTCTTCCTCATGGACTATAAGAGCTTCCGCAAGTGACACTATAAGAGTCTTCCCCAAGGACTCTATAAGAGTCTTCCAAGTGGCACTATAACTTCCTCAAGGTGTCTGCACTATAAGAGCCTGCAAGTGACACTATAAGAGTCTTCCCAAGTGGCACTATAAGAGTCTTCCTCGTGGCACTATAGTTCTATGGAAGTCTCCGGCACTAGAGCTCTCGGGCACTATAAGGTCTTCCCCAAGTGGCACTATAAGTCTTCCTCAAGTGGCACTATAAGAGCCTTCCTCAAGTGGCACTCCAATAAGGGGTTAGTTACCGTCAGTCAGTCGTGGTGGCCTCACAACACTAACTCTTAACACAACTTTTAATAACTTTTTGAGTAAGTGTTCATCAACCTCCAAAACAATTAACAACTGGTCATGTCGAGGTCAAGGCTGGGGTCAAGTGCATGTAGAGAGAGAACACACACACACACACACACACACACACACACACACACACACACACACACACACACACACACACAATAATAACATCAGTGTCATTGGAGATACTTGATCAAATAGCAGTGTTGGAGAGTGAGGAGGAGATTAGTGGTGGTGGAGAGAGAATGAGGAGGAAGGAAAGAGGGAGGGAATGAGGAAGAGTGAAGAGGAGGGAGAGAGAGAGGCGGGGTAGAGAGGAAATGAGGGAGGAGGAGGAGGCTAGTGGTGGAGAGAGAGGAAATGAGGGAGGGAGGGAGGGAGGCTAGTGGTAGAGAGAGAAATGAGGAGGGGAGGAGGGAGGCTGGGTGGTGGAGGAGGAGAGAAATGAGGGAGGGAGGGAGGGAGGCTGGGTGGTGGGAGAGAGAGGAAATGAGGGAGGGAGGAGGGAGGCTAGTGGTGGTGGTGAGAGGGAGGGAGGCTAGTGGTGTGAGAGGGAGGAGGCTAGTGGTGTGAGAGGAGGGAGGCTAGTGGTGGTGGAGAGGGAGGGAGGCGAGGGGTGAGTGGGAGGGAGGGGAGGAGGCTAGGTGGTGAGAGGGAGAGGCTGGGTGGAGATATATCGCCCCAGTAAGGTTTGGTCTCCCAGATATTGTTGTCCCAGGATCAAGTTTTGGCCCTTAATTTACGTCCTGTTTATGGAAGGAGTGTGACCTACATTATGTGACTCGGTATTAGTATTTGAGTGTTATTAAATTTGGACGAGTTTATAATGACTGTTTGGAATAATTGTTATGATAATGCTTTGTTGCTGTTGTTAGTTTAGGTTAGGTTTAGGTTTAGGTTAGGTTAGGTTGGTTTAGTTAGGTTAGGCTGGTTTAGGTTGAAGCTAGTCGGGTTGGTTTAGGTTAGGTTAGGCTGGTTTAGGTCAGGTTGGTTTAGGTCAGGTTGGTTTAGGTTAGGCTGGAGGAGGTTTATGTAGTGATGGTCAGAGAAGTGAGGATGAGAAAGTATTTGTCCTTCCCCAGAGAGAGAAAGAAAGATAATATTTTCTTTACCTCTGAAATATAATCCTGTCTGTCACCCAAAAGAAAGGTTTATAGACCCACCTGAGAGAGAGAGAGAGAGAGAGAGAGAGGGGGGGGGGGGAGAGAAGAGAGAGGAGAGAGAGAGAGAGAGAGAGAGAGAGAGAGAGAGAGAGAGAGAGGAGAGAGAGTGTGTTTTTCCCAGGGGTGAGGAACAGAGGTAAAGTTTGGTATAATCGGATTGGTGAGGAGGGCCAGGCCAGGTTGGCACAATGGATGGAAGATTTTGTCTTGCCTGCCCAGACCTCCTCCTCCTCCTCCCACAAACGAACACTATGTATTTCCGTGTTACATTATATTAAATAAAAGTGAAGAAAACAAATAAAAAACAAACAAATACATACATACATACATACATACATACATACACACACACACACATACATACATACATACATACATACATACATACATACATACATACATACATACATATACATACACACTACATACATACATACATACATACATACATACATACATACATACATACTATACATACATACATATACACACATACATACATACATACATACATACATACATACACTCTAAACAAAATACAAACAAATAATCAAAACACAAACAAAACAAACACCAAATTAATATATGTATAAAAGAAATAATAGACTTAGTAAAAGCTATTAAGATCCAGGTAATTAAAAGCTTATCAACCAGGTGAAGCTTAATAAAGACACAATAAAAACACACAAACACACAAAAACACACAAACAAACACACACAAACAAACGCACACAAACAACACACACAAACCAAAACAGGAACCAGCCTTTATTTATTTTGTTACTCTTCATCTTTTATTCAGCCACTTTACCCAGCGTGTGTCTGTCTGTCTGTCTGTTACGTGTTCCTTACCCAGACATAACTAGACATATTTTTATAATTCCTGTTTCACTTAAGCTGCGACAAAAAGCTTAAAAAACAGCTTGAATATGTGAGTCAGTACTTTTTCTCACTCGCTTTTAGATGGAGTCCGTGTTTTTGTGTGTACGTTCTTATTATGTACGTTAATTTACGGTCCTGTATGTACGTTAATTTACGGTCTTGGATGTGTACAGTGTTGGATATTTGAGAGAGAGAGAGAGAGAGGAGAGAGAGAGAGAGAGAGTATATATTCCGTCTTAACACACACACACACACACAACACAACACAATACACACACACACACACACACACACACACACACACACACACACACACATACAGTAAACATTCAGTATCTAAACTTAGTCTTTCAGTTCATTATATGGGGAGCATCATATGGCAACATGTAAACAAAGACATTGCCATAATTCAACTTGTATTCGATTTATTCATTATCTTCAGTTAATTTACTATCTCATTCTCCTGGTGTAATTACTATCCATCTGCAGTGGTAGTAGTTAGTAATAGTTAAGTAATTGTTAGATAGTTAGTCAGGAGGATTGTGTTAACTCCTTGTTCATTAATGTGGTGAGATGGCCTTCCTCTGGCGGGTTATTAGAGAATAATGTTGTTTTAATAGTTGGTGTGTGTGTGTGTGTGTGTGTGTGTGTGTGTGTGTGTGTGTGTGTTTGTGTGTGTGTGTAATAATATAATAATAATAATAATAATAATAATAATAATAATAATAATAAACGGTTTATTAGAGCAGGGTGGCTGAAAATATTCAGACTTACATGTGATTTAGACATAATGATATAATATGCATTGAATACATTTACAGGGCTGTACAGTACATAAATCAGGAGTTGTTTATTATTTTAACTAATAGATGGGATGGTGCTGTTCTTATATCTATCGGTGTGGGCTCTTATGGGCTGAATTTTATTGTAGTGGCGGACTGCGTGAGGTGGGCGGGGACTGCAGGTGGCAGGAGGTGGCGATGACGAGGGTGGTGCATTAGTTGGCTGCCAAACCTTTCCAGTGCTTGGTGGTGTTGGTCACTGAGAGCTGGCATTTCCAGGGTGGAGAGAGCGTTGGTGTAGCCCGAGTAGTCTGTGTTTATGTGTGTCATAATAAATAATAATAATAATTAACGGTTTATTGAAAAGTTCTGCAGCCCGTGTGAGAGGACCTTATTGCAACGCCACAACACTAAACGCCATCACACATTCACACTATCTACCACCCCCCACACTAACCAACCTCACCCCAGACTCCAACAAACCGGATTAGTACAGATAACACCTGATTTGGCCTCCTAAATCCTTAGGGCAGAACCAGACAGGACCTCCTCGCAATGAACAGCAGAGCCTCGACGGTGTGTGTGTGTGTGGTGTGTGTGTGTGGTGTGTGTGTGTGTGTGTGTGTGTGTGTGTGGTGTGTGTGTGTGTGTGTGTGTGTGTGTGTGTGTGTGAGTGGTGTGGGTGTGTTGTGATGACAGCATTATGCCTTATGCGGGGTATAATGTTTGTTTACTTCTGTAGGCGGAAAGTGATAATATATGTGAATCCATGTATGTGTTGATGTATTTGAAATTATAAATTAATGAAGATATCGACACACCACTCAATGGCACACTGCACACACACACACACACACACACACACACCACATGTTGTCCACCTCCCATCACCCTTCCTCCTCCCTAACATCAGATCAAAACAGGTAACCTGTCACATACAGACGATAACACAGACAGGTGAGCAATCATCTCGTTCCGTGATTAACAACCTCATAACATATCACTGAGGCTTGGCTTCCATGTTGTTCTGCGAATGTTAAATATATGT